GAATCTCACCTGTTGGGTTAGAATCGTACCTGTTGGGTTAGAATCTCACCTGTTGGGTTAGAATCGTACCTGTTGGGTTAGAATCACACCTGTTGGGTTAGAATCTCACCTGTTGGGTTAGAATCGTACCTGTTGGGTTAGAATCTCACCTGTTGGGTTAGAATCTCACCTGTTAGGTTGACATTTCTTTGTAGTTTTATTGTACGGTTAGGGTTAGCTTCTAACTGGCTAATCTTCAGCTGGATAAGAGCCAGCAGACCTGCTTGGACCTAAACCATCACCTCAGGTTCTGGGCCGGTCCACTCCTTCACACTCTAGGTCCTTCATTTCTATGAGATGCTGAATTTTAGTTTCTTTTAAAGGTGAAAGTTGAACCACGAGGAAACAAAGTTAATTCCAATTAACTTTCCCGTCAGACACATGAAGCGGCTAAAACCTGAACAGCCACTAAGTTAAAGTCTTATACAGAGTTTCTTTGCTAGGAGTATAGAAATAAATCAAAATCTATTTTATATCAAATCATTTCTTTTAGCTTTATTCTAGTTTCTAAACTGGTTTCTATTAGCTGTTAGTATAAGAAAAGAAACAAAGGTTTGAATTATTTCACTTTGTAATAAATCTGCAAATAATAATCATATATATATTTATATATCTTTAATGAGTTTGACTTTTTCACTGAATTATTAAAATCAAAGTGACTTTAATTTTAACTTAGAAAACACAAACATGAGTTTAAATAAAGCCTGTGAAGCTTTAACAGTAAATAAAATCAGTTGTTTCTGTTCTTATGTCATAAATCAGGTCAGACGTGTTTTTATTGGCTGCTCAATGAGCGCCGAAGTGTTGGATTGATTTATTCCAACATTTCCTTCAGAAAAGATATTTCTCATTATTTAGAGGTTTGATTTTTTTTTTATTTTTGGAAGAATTTCTATGGTAAAATGCCTCTGAGGTTTTTTTATCTTTAACTGGAAGGTTTGCATGACCTGCTGTGTTTGACTGGTTCCGCTCCTGTTTCATCTCACCTGCACTTATTGATTTCACCTTCATTTGTGTTTTCCTGAAAATCCAGATGCAGAGTGAGTTGGATAAAAACATATCGAAAGAACTGAGCAAAGGTGGGAACCAATCCTCCTGTTTCTGATCTTCTTGGATGAAGCTGTAGTTTTTAACCTCAGGCTTTTCTGTTGGTTGGTCAGCTGCAGCAGAGCTGGACGCCGCCTCCGTCCGTCTGTCTCCTGTGGGCTCGGCCGGCGCAGCCGAGCTGGACCCCCTCAGCAGAGCAACGCAGCAGTATTTGGAGGTGCTGAAGAAGAACCGTAGGATCTAACTCCATATTTTAGCTGCCAACCATCAGAAACTAAGAAGATTTTAACCCATGTTTGGTTTTTTATCTTGTGTCATGAAAAAAAATCAACTTTATTGCACATTGAGGGAGGAGTCTCTGAACAGGAACAATAAAAAAAAAAAAACCCTCAGAAGTATTTTTCTGGATGAAATCCTAGTTTGGATTTTTATTTTGGAGAATTTCTGTATTTGTATTTATCTTTGTTTTGGCCAGTTTATGTCGTCTGGTACGTGCCATCCAATGGTGCAATATCTGTTGCAGTCTTAAATATCGATTTATTTATTTACTTAATGAACACTATAAACTTGAAGATGACGAGCTGGATTCCTCTCCGGCTATAAAACATTTCAGATTTTTTAGTTGGTTTGATTAAAAGGCCAGTTTGCTATTTTTTTTTCTTCAGATAAAGTTTTTATTTTGAAAATATTGCTATAATGCATCAAATAAATGAGGAAAAAGAAACTATAAATGATTGTTTTCTTTTACCAAACTAATTTTATTTACTGTAAAGTAAAAGATGCAGAATTGTGTCGATAAATAAGAGAAGCTGAGTTATTTTAACCCTTTGATTCCTGATATTTATTTATACATAAAAGTTGTGGTTTTTTGCCTTTAAGGTACCAAAGGTTGATACTTTAAATATTGCACTAGAGGATAAATAGAAATAATTCTAACAGTTTTAATGGTTGATGTTGACATTCAGCATCTAGGACCAGTCGTACCAGAAACAAGTGCTTGTCAAAGGTTCCTAGATGTAGAATAAATAGAATAGAAAATCCCTTTATTGTCCCCCAATGGGGAACTTCTGGTGTTTACACTGAAATCACTCATATTGTCTTTGCTGTTTAAGGAGCTAAAATAATGAGACCAAAGCACAGACGCCCATCTAGATGCTTTATTCTTCAGAGTTAAGATCAGTTTCTTCTTCTGGTGTCTAAATATTTCTGACTCTTAGTCCAAAGAAGAAGATTATTCCAGAAGGTGGGATCTCTGTCAGCCGTCTCAGTGGCATATGTTGAGCTTTTCATGCTACAGAACCTTTTACCGTTAAAAAGCGCTTCACAAACATTCAATATTATAGAGCTAGAATAGTGAGAATAGACAGACCTCTCTGTCGCTAGAACGACTTTACCAGAATTTAAAAAGATCTTTGCTTCACTTTCATTGCTAGAATTTTTTCTGCATTGTGAAAAAGATCAGATATATTAATAAGTTAAAGATAAGTTACAGATTTAAAAAGGTAAACAGGAAGTCAGCTTCTCTGTTTTCCTCATTTCTGAGAACTAATCCTGCAAAAGTTGCTAAAATAATCCAGGATCTTCTTGTATTTAAATGAGAGATGCTGCTTTCCATCAATCCTGGACTCTCATTAGCTGCGTTTTGATGTTCTTTAAAAGTCCCCCTCCTCCTGAAGTGATGCGCTGCTTTAGAAACCATTTTCCTCTCTTATTAAGACAAGGCGGCGTGTTTATGATTGCCCCCCTCTGGTGCGTCTCTCTTAGCTTTGATCCATCTACTCTGCGTCAGCCGCAAATGTTAAGATATTCAAATCTTGTTACATTTATTTTGGTTTCCTTTATAGTGGATGAGCATATCTGACAGACTGACTATTAGCTGTTATTATTTCCCCTTTTTTATAAATACAGACGGCACTTCATAGAGCAGGTATGAACCTGCTTTTGATTGAGGAGGTTACAGCCGTCGTCGTGCAGCTTTGGAGGCGGCGAGAATAAAACAAACAGAATAAAAAGGAGCTTTTTAAAAAAATATATAAATTAGCTTGAAAACAATCCGCTCTTCGTCGGGTCATCACTTGTCTGTAAAACTCAGACTCTTATTCTCTACCTGTCCAACAACTGCGAGGCTAGATGAGCTAAACATAAAGGCTAATTCATTGTTAGCCATCTGTCAGGTGTCCCTCAGTCAGACTTTCCTGCTGGAAGGGGAACCTCCCATCATGCCATTTGTTTTTGTTACCCTTGGCCCCACTAAAGTAAAGAATCCCCACAGTATGATGCAGCCTCCACTATGTTTCATAATGGGCTCATTTTTCAGGATGATGGTCTCACCAGAACCAATTCCTCTGTTTTCTTTCTAAAGCTTTGGGCCTTCAAGCTGCGTCTTGGTATGAGAGCAGTTTATTTTTCCCATCATCAGTTTAAATGTAACAGAACTAAAAGGCACATAATGTTTTAATAAACGACCACAAACAGAAAAGGTCTATTGCTTTACATCTAAACTGCCTCCAATGTGACTCCCTCTACACTGCTAATAAAAAACTTGTCATCTCTCGCTTTAATCCTTTATCATATTTGTCAAATAAGGCACTTTGAGGCATAAAGAAGATGCTTACTGTCTCTAGATCTCAGAAGATCTGAGCTGGCTTCATTAAAAAGCTGCAGAGCGAGATGACAGCAGAGAAGCAGACGGTAAACAGCCAAAAATAAATCTAAGTGCCGATAAAGACACTGCTGTCAGTCTGTCCAGGAGAGCAAAGATGCTCATTTAAATCATGTTAGCAAGTAAATAGAATTTAGGCTGTGGGTTTTTTTGGCCCACAATGCAGCTGTGTTCTGTTAGGGACAACAGGCAGCAGTGGTATCTAATTTAGAGGGTGACGTTCAGGCGGCACGAAGTAAGCGATCCGGCTTGTTCCTCAGTTTGTTCTTATCTTTACCTGCAGCAGCAGCGGCCCTTCACTCATCACAGCTATAGAAACACATGAAGCATGTAGGCACTGTATGAGCAACACTACCTTTCATTGCAACATTTTTATGTTAAAAACTTCTTTGTATTTTGTTGGACTTTTAAGACAGACCAATAGTCATCTTATTTTCTGGGTGCACGTTTGCATCCCTTCAGATAGACTACTGGCTTAGCCGCGGTGACAGATCTCACAGCAGTCCAGGCAGAACTCCAGAAACTCTGTGGGTTCGCAACAAGACTCAAACAGCACCGAGTGGCAGTGGGTGGGGCAGCTGAACTCCTCCGCGGGGGCGTCCTGGATGGCCGAGCAGCAGGAGGAGCAGGCGTGGCAGCAGGAGGAGCAGAGGCCCTGGAGGCAGCAGGAGGAGGCCTCCAAAACACCCAGGAGCACCGCAGAGAACCGGCACCACAGACACGCCAGCAGCAGCTGAAAGCAGGAGTCTGTGAAAATAGGAAGGAAACGACTCAGAAATCTGAGGTCAAACAGCAACTTGTCTTGTTTCCTGAAAGCCTTTTTTTGTGTTCACAGAAAAACAGGGATTAGCAAAGCTATTAACCCAAATTAAACGCTCGTGTTGTTTGTTTGTGGTGTCAACCAAAAACTTTAAAGAGAAAATGTTGCAGTGATCAAGTGTGATTGTGTTTTTTTAATCACAGCTTGTTTCAGTCCTCGAGGGAAAATCAAAAAAGGCCACAGAGGCTCGCAGGGATGAAAAAACAATCCAGAGGAAGCTGTCACACAATAATTGCTCCGCTGCCCAAATTAGGCACAGATGAAATTGCATACATTAACCTGACGGTGCGCTGCAGTGCTTATGGTGGGATCATACCTGCTGTATTTATTTATTCATCTGCAGAAGGACCAGAGGGGAGCAGGCTGATGCAAATCCAGCTGTTTTATCCTGTTTACTCTGGAAAGCGGTGAAACAGAGGAGGCAGAATTCCCTGTGGAGCGCGGCCCAACATTTCCCTACTTATTCCACTGATTTATACACAACCCACATGTAACATATGCTAATGCAGGTGTGTATATGAAAGAGGGGCATTGTGGGTAGCTCCTTAATGATATAAAAACTCCTTGGTAAACAAGCATTAACAGGAAGGAAGCAACTGGGAAACTTTCAGATTTGTTATTTGCATTTTAAGTTTTATATTTACCAGAAACATGATTGGACCAAAAAATATGTATTTTTTTTTTCTTTTGCTGTGAAGTTCATAACCTTATTCAGTTATTTTAATGCTTGATTAAGCTTCACTTTTTAATTTGCTTAAAAAGTGTTGCTTTTTATCATCTGTTCTCTGGCTTGTTACCATTAGGATCCTATTTGATAGACAAACGGGAAGTAGATGTGATTTGACTTAAAAAAATATAAGACGTCTATAATGTTTTAATTTCTATGATCTTTTTACTTTGCAGGAAATGTCCTTTTCTGGTTTAACCGAGGTCGGTCTCTTTGAGACATGTCTGCCAGCTTTACAAACCTAAAGCCTTAAAGATTGTTTTTCTGTCCAAATAAGCTCAGTTAGCAGCGGTACGTTCACACCGAATGCTAAACCACTAAAATCTTCCCAGTTCCGTTTGTTTCTGGTCGCCTTGAAATTCGCCTGCACAGCGAAAGACTCCTATATCATGGAATCTGTTGGTTTCACCTCATCATGGCGGGAATTGGATTTACAGAGCGACAGGCTGTGATTTTTTACTCTAGAAAGCTGTTGCCGTTCTTAGGCTCAATAATTCCTAGAGATGGAACGAGTATGGCGAATACCACCACCTCAATCAGAGTCTAGGTCTGTATGACGGTTACTTTCAGAGGTACTTCCACCTATCATGAGCAATTTCAGGGCCCTGCTTTCCCACCATGGGGGACAAATCACCCGGACAACAGAGGGTTTGGTAAGACGGCATTCTGGAGCTCAGACAAACAGTGGGAAGTCAGGGAGGAAACACCAGCAGATAAATAAACAGAACTAGCACCAGGCTACCAGCCGTCTCACCCTATGGAAACGGGGAACTACAGCGAGGGATTGGAGGAGCTCCAGGGAAGCGGTGGACGAGAGCTGGGAGAGAAGCAAGAGCTGTAGATCCGAGAGGCCTGTCGGGGAAACAGCGAGGAGAGGCTAAAGCAGACTGGGGCTAACTACAGAAGCTAACTGCAGAGGAACAGAGGAGCACAGTGACGGGTCAGATAATTTACTGAGAGGACAGAACACTGAATGCGGGGTAGAGTCTATGGCTGCCCAGGAATTGGACACTGGTACATCAGAGAAGCCAGGAGAGGCTATGGCTGGTTGGAGGCAAACTACTGGAGATGAAAGGAGTACCAGGGTGCATCAACGAAGCTTGCCTGGACAGAGAGCAGCGGAAATGGGTAAAGAAGACATGGGCTGGCCATCTACACTGGAGGTAGGATGAAGAAACAGTCCTTTATTAGCCACCCTACAATCCTCTTGACAGCATTCCACTTCCTCCTTTGTCAACATTATTTTCTCTACCTAGTATTTCTAATAAAAAAAAAAAAACTTGTCTGTTAGGCTAACGTAGGTGCAGGGTTAGGCTTAGGGGCAACTGATCCTCTATCCAAGGGTTAGCCAAAGTCGGTCCTCGAGGGCCACTGTCCTAAAAGTTCTTGGTGTTTCTCAGCTTCAGCAGAGCTGATTCTGATGTCTGCCTGTTATTCAGTTATCAATGAAATCGACTGAAAAAGGAAATACATCACGGTTTTATTTGAGATATCATTGTAGGGGGAAAGTGATTATAAACAGGCTCTTTTTTAAAGTTTTATTCATGTAAAATATTGTGGGGTTACTTGGTTTTGTTGGATCAGATTAAACTGAAAGAAAAATGTTGACACTTGGTGCTTTATTGAACTGCATTAAGCAGATTAACTTGCTTTATTTTAGTGCTATAATCTTCATTTAATTTTTACCTCATGAAAAAATCAAACTAGCTGTCCTGTCGCCTTACACTGCAGCTGCTGTTCATTATTCCATTTCTTTAGCCCAAAAAAAAAACAAAATAGAGAGAAAATACCATAAGTTTGACTCTTTTACGATTTGAATAGATGTCTAAAATAGTTTTTATTGAATTTACAATTGTTTAGTGTTTGATTGAACCTATAGGATTTGACTCAAATAAAAAAACTGGCCCTGCTATAGACCTGTGGAGGGTGGACCCGGCTATCGAGGTGGATAGGCAGCAGCGCCCCTCGCCACCCTGCTTGGGATTAGCGTCATAGAAAATGGATGGATGGATATAAAACTGCTGCTCAAACATGGAGGCCATCCTTTCCTAACTACTTTCATAAATATTTCTGTAAGAAAGTGAGAGTTTTGAACATTCTTTGATAGTTTTGGTTCCTTTTCTGTGCATCTATTGAAACAGATCATTTAAGGTGGAGGTTACCTGCAGGTGTAGGAGCAGGTTGGTTGGATCTGGCCCTTCCTCTCCTACTATCGCTGCCCTTATGGCCGCTGTGCACTGTGCCCTGCGGTTGGCTCTGCAGCTGTGAGGCAGGTTTGAGTCTCTTTTCAGTGACTGGGACGCCACACCGAGGACATGTTGGCCTCTGAAGGTCATGTCCAGGCTTCTTCAACGCGTCTGATAGCTGGGAGGCCTCCGTTAGGAGAGCTGGACCAGGAGGAGGCTGGACTGAGAGACACGAACCGAGACATCATGTTAAACAACAAAGCTTTAAGATGTTGGTTTTGATTCATTTGTGTCTTTTTTGATGATGCAGACAAAATAGAAATACATACAGAATACAGAATCTATAGTTATATACAATAGAAAACATAAAATATACTATATATAATATATAGCATATAGCTATAAACTATATACACAGTAATTGTTAATGTAAGGTAGGAGGACTGGAGATGCTACGCTGGTGTAGCTTCTAGGTCCTGACCGGGGGGGGGAGAGGCAGTGTCAGGGTGACGGGGGTCTCAGGGCCTTGTTGATAAGGCTGGTAGCGGATGGGAAGAACGGCAGGGTTTGGTCCTGATGGAGCGGGGCTGAAATAGCGAGGGATCAGCCAAAATCTTCTCTGCAGGCCTCAGAGTCCTGGAGGCGTACAGATCCTGGAGAGATGGAAGATTGCAGCCAATCAGCTTCTCTGCAGACCGGATGACATGCTGCAGCAGGGGATGGCAATCCCAGTTCCTGGGGAGGGTGGAGGGGAGGAGGGGTGGGTCTTTTAATGTAGGGTCCCAGCTGCGGTGGGGAAGTGTCATGGGGGGGTTGACTGTGTAGAAGTCATTCAGGTGATTGGCTAAGTGTTGGTGGTTCATGGAGGGGGGGTCAGGTTAAAGGGGGCCGTTTAATCTGGTAATCTACTGAGGTCGGATTAAAGTTCCACCTGCTAACCGTAACCCTGAGGTGAAAGATGATTGTCTGCCTCCTAAAACACAGCAGACATGTCAGAGAGAAGTTTGAGGGAAAGTTTAACGGCTGGAAAAGAGGAAATTAATCAGACACACAAGCAGGAGGCTGGTGGGAACTCTGGAGGAGCTGCAGAGATCCACTGCTCAGGAGGAAACAGCTGTGGTGTTAGGTTTATTCTTTATACATCATGTGGATTGTTACGTGGTTAGCCAGATTAGACAGAGCAGAAGGCCTTCCTTCACACGGTGGATGTCACTGTGTGTACGGAGGTCATCTAATCAGGACAGCCTTCGTGTCTTTAAGATACACAGGATATGGACACATCTTGGAGCCGGTCTGACAGAGGAGAGCTACTGTATCTGTAACCCTGAAGTATAGAAGCAAGCTGCATGGAGTTCAAGACATGGATGGCGTGTCAGTTTCTGATACGGACAGCTAAGCATCAAAAAGATGCAACACATAGACCCATGAGCTATAAGAAGCAGGAGATGACATCGTTCGAGGCTCAAACTTTGCCGGATGCTCGCTGACGTGATTTTTGAGCCCACAGCTGTGCAGCTCCAAGCATTTTCTCTGTCCTGTAACGACCTGATCTGGAATAAACTCTGTTACTTTTTTACTCCTGTTTTATAGTCCTTTATATGGATTTACCCAGTTTGAGTTAAGAGTAGTAAATAACTTGCTCCCAGGAAAAGAACCGGTGAGGAGGCCCCCGGGGCGCTACAGCCTTCCTTTCAAGGGGACAAATCCTCCTCATTTTAACAGTGGGTAGGACAGCGATTATTTCAACCACCCAACTTTACGGATGAACAACAAGAAAGTTTAATGTTAAAAGAAATATAATAAATCAGCATTTTCACAAAACCCAGCAGGGAATCTGGATCAAGGCAGAAATATTTTCTAAATTAATAATATTATCTATGGTGGAAAACCAACATGTATTTGTGGTTAAATATACATTTTAAGCAAATGTACAATTATTCAATAACTTATGAGTGAACATTTCTTCCTATAGAAGAAACAGCGTGAAAATGTGATTGTTGCTGTTTTCACGAGGGCCCCTTTGGTTTCCATGTGCACCACTAACCATGAGGTCATCGCCGCTGGTATTTCCTCTGCTAATGAGGTCAAACCTTCAAAGGATTTCCTCTTCTGATCTTAGAGACGAAGCTACAGAAAGCAGCTGGATAATATCTACGTTAGAGACGAGGCTCAGCGACACGGAGACAAACAGCCTCAGACTTCCTCCCACCTGACCCTGCATTCAAAATGGCCTCCGAATTATTAGCAGAAGTTTGGCTGGATCTCAGTTCAGTATTTTACAGATTTGCACAAGCAGACGGGAATCATTCAAATAAAAAGAAAGACATTATGAGTTTTCCTGCTTTGCGCTTCTAAATCACCAACATCTGGTCGTTTTAAAAATGGAGAATAATTTATGGAATCAAGAACCAAACTATTAATCTGGCATAAAAAAAGAAAACCATTTATTGTAATAAAGATAGAATAGTTTATTACTGTAAAGGTTCACTTCTATCAACAAGATGAAGCAGTAAGATTTAAGAGACTTTCTTATTTAAATAAAATCAGTGAGCTGTTGTCCAGTTAGCAGCAGACCTGCCAGATTTTCAGAAATCTGACCCAGATAGAGTAAACAGATAATCCTAACATAAATAATCCTAAACTATTATACTGAGATAAAGTTAGCATTCATAAATCAATGGTACACGAGCTGTATTTATATAGCCTGATAAACCAGACTAAATGTGAGATTAAATATGTAATTTGTGTCATTTAGTCTGGCCCCGATGAATGAGACATCAGGAGATTATTGATGTTGTTTTTCAAACCATATCTGTGCCTATTGGCCAACGCTCTGACCAATGAGAGCCACTGACTGGGACGTAGGGAGCGCGACAGGAAGCTGGTGGGGGAGTGGAAACAAACAACCTGTTGGTAAAACGGCGAATACGTCCTTCTCCAAAATGAATGAGTGTAAAGCTTCTTCATGTTTCAATGGAGATCCCATTGCGCAGCCATGCTTCTGTCTGTAAAAATTACCTCTGAATGTGAAACAGGTTGTGGAAAGACAAAGGCCCAGTAGTGTGCAGATCTGGTCCGGAGTGAAACTAGTCCTGTTGTTTAAGTCAACATCTTGTTGAAGACGTGTCCTGACTGTTTCCACTGCCTCTGTTATCGGTATGCATGTGAAAAGTGAAGTAACATCAAACGATTCCAGGGTTTCTCCTGCTGCCATCCTTAAATGTTTGGCTTTTTTAGCAAAGTCTTTGGAGTTTTCTATGTGATGTGGTGTGTTTCCCACCAAGGGAGCTAAGATATTAATAAGCTGTTTAGCAATGTTGTCTGTTACTGAGTTAATGCTGCTGACAATGAGCCTGAGTGAAGCTCCTTCTTTGTGATTTTTTGGGAGTCCATATAAGCTGGAATTTCCTCCCCTGGATATAATCTGAAATAGACTGTGCTGTTAATTACCGTGTCTTTTTCAAGTTGTTTGAGATAGTTTATTATTTTCTTTTTGTAGCCGCTGGTTGGATCTCTTTTCCAGGATTCATAGGTATTACTGTCGTTCAGTAGAGTGATCATTTTGTCCTGGTAGTCTGAGGTGTTGAGGACTACGGTGCATCTTCCTTTGTCTGCTGGTAATATGGTGATGCTTTTGTCCTGGCTCAGGGATGTTATGACTTTCATTTCCTGGTTGTGTGAGGTTGGAAGGAGGTGGTTGGACGCTGGACAGGGTAGCTGTTACCTTCTTTCTGAGTTGCTCTGCCTCCGTTTCAGCCAGGTTGTTGTTCCTGATGGCCGATTCAGTGGCAGTGATCAGTTCCATAATGGGTACTTCTTGTGGAGAAATGGCAAAATTCAGGCCTTTGCTCAGAACATCCGTCTCTGGTTTAGTCATTGGTCTGGATCTAGGTCTAATGACTCTGGAAGTCACGCCCCTTTTTATTGTACACCTGCTGATGAGAGCTCATTAACTCCCAGACGACCAATATAACTTTAACTAAGATGGGAGTTCATGTCAGACATAAGAACAGAGCTAATAAAATGGTAACTTTATAACGATGTTTGACATTAATTAGCAGCTTCGAAAATCCAAAGGGAGCCTTGACTAAACTAAAAAATTAAACTGTAAAACTTTACTAAATGTTTCTTTAAGAAAGTAAAAATAATGGAACCTTTTGCAAGAAAACAGTCTAAAATGAATTTTATCATTTAATTATTTGCAAGTCAACAAAGATAAGAAGAAAATGACATCAGACGTGATTTATTTTCTTAAGTCTGAATCTAAAAGAAATTTTCCTTTAGATTCGGCAGAATCTGACGTTTCAGTTTTAACTTTATTACAATAATCGTTTGCATCGATCGCTTTAAGAGTTGAAAACTATTATTCAATTATTCACATGAAACATGATAAACATCAAGTAAAAATCTGTTTTAGGATTTTAACAAAACGTAAATAATTAAAACTTCGGAGCCCATTTATTTAACAATGTGTTTTTTCTGAGAACAAACCTGTTTTTGTAAATAAAAGGATAGAATATATTTTAAAATCTAACCATCCTTGCCTTCAGTTGCGTTGTTCTGTTTTCCTCTCGTTTCCACAGACGCTTCTTCTTGCAGCATCTTGGATTCTCATGACTGGTTTTTCCCAGTCTGTCGCAGGAGCCTCTTGCCTTTTGTCCAAAGCAAAGGGTCAGGAAGCCCCCAGCAACACCCGTCATGCTGACATGAGTCACGGCGCCGCGGCCTGAGCGAGCTGCTATGCTTTATTGTTCTGTGCCTTAACAACAAACCCACTGACCAGCATACTTTAGCAAACGTTGCACACGTGTGGTAACTATGCCTGCAATACCAGCATAAACCTGATCAAGTGGCCCACATCAGGCTTAAAATTATTTTCATTTTGTTATCATATTAACATAATCTATAAATTAGAACTAAATGTTGGAGTAAATGACTAATAATCACTTAACAGGTGATATCTACCATCTAATAGGTTCATGTTTCAATCATTCCTTTTTTTCACACTGACTCGTAAAATTCCTTTAAGTTTTTCCACACCTTCTTCAATAACAAGTTCAAGACTCATTATTCTAGCCGAACTCTCTGAAGAGAGCGACACACAGAGGCACAGCTTTGTGGTTTATTTACATTATTTAACAAGGGAAAATCAGAAAAGTGCTGCATACATTTAATTCCTTCTCAGCTTTTTCCAGGACGTCCTCCAGGATGAGCCTTAGATCCCTGCAGCTCCTCCAGAGGGACCCTGGATGTTTTTGCAGCTTCTCTGCTCAACACGCCTCTTGCCATTGGTCACATTATGAGATGTCCAGAAATTAAGATCTTTCTCCTTTTTTTATTTAGGGGTATTTAAGTCATGGGAGCTTTTGAACTGCGAAAGAAAAAATAAAAACAATATGGTGTTGCTTATAGTTTAAACATTTCTAGTTTCAAATTTTTAAAACTCCTCCACTGCGCGATGCCTGCGCCATCTTTGTTATTAGTCTCCGCTGTCGGGTAGCAACAGCCTATGGCGGGTCGCTGTGACAGCATGTCCCAGAATGCTTTGCGAGGAGAGCTGTCACAAAGCATTATGGGATATATTTGCTCATCTAGTGATCATGGATGATCACTACTTTTAAGGTGCATCGTGGGAAATTTCAAGTCCACTAGACGTTCATCCTGTTTTAACCACAGGATGAGTTAAAATCATATTACTGCTGAGTTCTGGGCCCACTTCTCTTTGCCCTTTATCTGCTGCCGCTGGGAGAATAATGAGAACAGGGTTTCATTGTTATGCTGATAACAGCCAAATTTATATTCCATGAAGCACAAAAGATGGGAACTCTATTAGCCTGATGTTAGGAAGACCTGAAGACCTGGATGGTCCTTAACTTTTTAAGATTCAATAAGAGTCAGACTGAGCCGCACAGCTGAGCTTTCCTCCATTGAACTAGGTTTCTATCCCAGAACAGGAAGTCAGGTATCACAAACCTTGGTGTCAAAGTGAATAGAATAGAATAGAATAGAATAGAAAACACCTTTATTGTCCCACAATGGGGAAATTCTGGTGTTTTCAGCAGCAAAGAGATTATAGAAAAAATGGTCACACAAATGTGGACCTTAGAAAAATGTATAAGAATAAGATAATAGTGAAGAGTTAAAAGATAAACAATAAAATCCTGTAAAGGAGTTTAACAATATAAAACTGGAGAATAAATAACAGAAAATGCAGCTATGGACATTTTTACAGTAATGGATATTTGAAAATAGCAGCAACATCAGAGATGTGCAGAATGACAGCAGCAGGTTATTTAACTGACTGAGGTAGAAACTGAGCATGAATGGAAGAACTGGTTGAGGTTGCTGGGAACAGTGGTGATTCTAGAGTCTTCCAGCTGCTGGGAGGAAGGATCTGTGATAACGCTCCCTGGTGCATTTAGGGTGGATGCTGATCTTAAATCTGACAGCAAGATAAAGGAAACTTTAAGAAAAGTTTCTTTCATTTAGGGCAGGTGACCAAATTCTCTCTAGAGATCATTTAGGGATAATAATCCACGCCTTCATCATTACCAGGCTGGATTACTGTGATGCACTTTATCTGAAGGTTAGTGTCTCCACCATCGCTTAACTCCAGAGAGTGAAAAATGCTGCAGCATGTTTTTAACCTAGCAATTATAAAAATGAACACATTACCCCCATTTTAGACTCACTACACATCCTCCCTGAACAGCCTATGATTCATTTTAAAGTTTATTTGGTTTTAACTTCCAACAGCGAGTTGTCCTTTCAGCGGCGTTGCTCCATCTTATCTTTCTGTGTTGCTGCACCATCATACACCCTCCCACTCACTCAGGTCAGCCAATCAGCTGCTTCTCTCTTTTTTTGGGGGTGGGGGGGTCGTGCTCCAAGAATGTGGAAGGACCTTCCAATGTGGATTACAAAGTCTACCTCTCTGTCTGATTATAAATCGCCTCTAAAACTTAGATTTCAAAAGATGTTGATTTCAGCCTGTTATCAATTATTTTAAATTATTTTAATTTCATTTTATTTTATTATAGATTTTATATTTCTGGTTTTAATTTAGTCATCTGCTGATGAAGGTTCTAAGTCATCCAGGTCAGAGTCA